GGGATGTCATGTCTGTGGGGGGCAGGCATCCCTTGCGCCCATTCCACTGGGACTCTGCAAGAGTAGAGAGGTAGCTCTTGCTAGAGGGAGGCAGTTACTGTTCTAGTGCCATCAGCCTCTGTACACTGCTGAGAATACATTGCTGAAATTCTGGGGTGTACCAGACACTCAAAGCTCTGCCCTTTTTTTGGTCACCTCTTATGCCGGTCTTCAGCTTCCTTGGATATCAGCCACCTTCCCCTCACTTTCTGTATCGGCAAGGAGTAATCTTCTTTCCAGGTGGCTCCACAGAGTGGACTCCCTGCAGTCAGTGTAGGCAGGTCCTGTCCTAGGTGCTGCTTTTTAATGATCGTTGCATACGAAACCACAACCTGGCTTCTTCCAGCCTGGGATGCTCCCTGGGTCATGCATGTGCCCATTGTGATGTTGGAAGGCCATGCCAGCAGTGCACAGACGAGGGCTCTACTCGCTGATTCTAAGGGCATAGACGGAAGTGCAGCTCCCTGCTGTAACTGAGAATGCTTTGCAGGAAGTGTTCAGAGTTCAAATGATCCCCTGGACCAAACAAATTCCCTATTAGAAGCTCACTGTTCCAGGGAGGAGGGGGAGCCTGCAGCCAGGTTCCCCTAGCAATGGCCCCTCCCTGCAAGGCTGCAAAGTTTCCCCACTCCCATTCTAAAAAGGGGAGCAGAGGGAGTTGGCTCTAGGGGTTCCCCAGCCAGGCTGGAAGGTGGATGGGTGCACTGGAGCCCCACCCACTGGGGGGAGGGGGGGGCTGTAATGCATCCTCCCCACCCTCAAGTGGGGGGCTGAAAAAGCACCAGACTGAACTCCCTCTGCTCCCGTCTCATTCTGAAAACAGCTTGAGGCTGGGAGACAGCTCAGACACAAGTTATAGAAGATGCTCTGTTCTGAAACATCATCATCTTCATCTGACCCCTTGTGCAGTGAGGGTTCAGATTTTTCACCTGATTTGGCTTCCTTTTTGGAGATCTGCAGTGTGCGCTTTTTCGGTCATGGTTACAGATTGCCTTTTGGGCCAGATAGAAGTGACAATTTTATTTTTTCCCTGTCTGTACCCTAAATGATCACTTGACTGTATGCAGTCCTCCAAGGGGATGGGCAGGGGGGAACTGATGTCTTCCCTATTCTGAATAGTGATCCATGAACTTGAGTAGCATTTGTACAAACAGAAGAGAGCCTATGGCAGCAGTTCCCAAAGTAGGGGTTGCAACCTCAAATGGGGTCATAACGTAAGCAGATGGGGTGGGGGGCTGTGGGTTGGGAATGATGGGCTATGCTGAGAAAATGAGGTTATGCTGAAGAAGAGCTTGGAAAGCACTGGCCTATCGGCTTCTTGGGGTGGAAGCTGTATGTACAACAAGAGAGAGATGACGGTTTGGCAGATCTCAAGGAGAAGTGGGACTTCAGAGGGCAAGAGCTTGGCAGAAAAAGTGGGAGGCTTAGAAGGTATGGGATGGGGCAGAAGAGGTGACTAGGAGGCAGATGCAAGCAGGGAACAGGGCATCAAACTTATATAAGGCTGAGCAGTTGCACATGACCTGGGAGGAGGCAAGCAGCAAGGGAGTGCCAGAAGCCAAGGCATGCTACTCCTGTTTCCCAAAACATGCCACTGGAAGACGAGGTATGGGTTTGAAGAAGCGAGAGCAATCTTCAAACCCATACCTGTCTTTCCTAACATGAACGATGCATGCCTCTGGTGGCTGGGGGGGCACGGTTGTGCTGGCAGCAGTGGCAGTGGGTAGCTGTTAGTGTGGAGCTTCTGCAGATGCTGCCGGCGTCATTGGCAGTGGGGGTGGGAGGGGTGGTGAGCGACCAGGGGTTGGTGACCACCCACAGGCAGCGAGAGCCCGTGGCGACTTCTTGCAGATGCCGCTGATGTTGGCAGCTCTTTTGTAGGGGGTACACTGCCAGCACCCCCTACGCATTGCCCTGTTCCCTAGATATTCTTATAATATCTATCTTCATCCATTGTTGGCCCACAGCAACCCAACACTATGTCAGTCACCAAGAAGTTCAACTACAAACTTGTGAAAAGTGGGAGCATCATTTTAACTGCCACCTCAGACCTCAAAGGATATATTGTGGGGCAGGTGATCCAGCTGCGCACAGACATAGAGAACAAGTCTGGCCGGGACACTGGTGCTGTTGTAGCCCGTCTGCTTCAGGTAAGAGTCACTAGTACTGGTGCCAGGCCACTCCAAGACAGGTGCAGAGAGCAGTGTCTCAGGATGTGTTCTCCCCTGGCTGAAACTTGGTGCCTCTCTCCTCTCCTTTTCCAAATCTATGCGAGGGGGCGACAAGGGAACTAAACCTTTGGTTTCATAGTTAGTAGGGTCAGAAAGGACCTGAGCAGATCATCAAGTCTGACCCCCTGCCTTGGCAGGAAAAAGTACTGGGGTCAAATGACTCCAGCAAGGTGTTCATCCAGCCTCCTCTTAAAGACCCCCAGGATAGGAGCCAGCACCACTTTGCTTGGAAGTTGGTTCCAGATCCTAGCCGCCCTAACAGCGAAGTAAGCATATCTCATTCTTTCACTCTGGTTAGCTCTGCTGACGGAGCTTCTCTGTATCCATGTACTAAATACCTCTGGCTCCTCCACTGGAGGCCAGGAGTCTGTTACAAGCCCCACTTAGATGGTCTCTGCTTTTTTGCTTAAGCTGCTGCAGTCTGTTCTTCTTTAGCTCTGAAGGCTTTGGATTCAATACTTGGCTTGTTGGGCTGAATTGCAGCCATCATGTGAGCAGTTACAGAAGCCCTTGCTTATTCAAACCAGATTGGTGCAGGAATGAAGAGTCTGAACCAAAGTTTCATACTTCTGCTCTACTTGGCCAAGAGCATGGTTGACTTTTGTTCAGTCTGTCCCAGAGGCTTGGTGGGGCATTGATGGATCCCAGGGAACATGGAACCTGTTGACATTCTTCCACTTTATCTTTCTTTCTCACCCATGTGCAGAAAGTTGCTTACAAATCCAAACGCTGGATTTATGACTTGCGGACCATTGCGGAAGTGGAGGGCTCAGGGGTGAAGGCGTGGAAGCATGCAGAATGGAAGGAGCAAATCCTTGTCCCGGCGCTGCCCCAGTCTATTCTGCAAGGCTGCACCCTCATACACATTGACTACTATATCCAAGTAGGTATTGCCAGCCTCTTCCTGGAAGTGTTCCCAGTGGGTCTTGTCTGTAGTGCTCCTTGGCTTCCTCCTCTAGCATTTGAGTAGCAAAGAAGTTGCAGCCCCCCCCCCACCCCCCGACTGGCTCCAGCTGCTGCAGGTCTGGGGCGGAAAGACAGAAGTAGGAATAAAAAGTGTGGGCAAAATATGGGCCACAGGATGGATTTGGCATACCAAGGGATTCCGTCCAGCCCATAGTGCCACTTGGCCCAGCCATGGGAGGCAGCCCAGGCTGTGACACGTGGCTGGTCCACTACCCCCAGGTATAGTTTCATAGTTTCTAGGGTCGGAAGGGACCTGAGCAGATCATCTAGTCTGACCCCCTGCCATGGCAGGAAGAGCACTGGGGTCAAATGACCCCAGTAAGGTGGTCATCCAACCTCCTCTTAAAAACCCCCAGGGTGGGAGCCTGCACCACCTCACTTGGAAGCTGGTTCCAGACCCTAGCCGCCCTGACCGTGAAGTAGCGCCTCCTGATGTCCAACTTAAACCTTCCCTCCGCCAGCTTGTGACCGTTGTTCCTGGTCACTCCTTGCGGCGCTCGGGGGAACAGGGACTCCCCCAGCGCCTGCTGATCCCCCCTAACCAGTTTATAACAGGCCACAAGATCCCCCCTCAGCCTTCTCTTTTGAAGGCTGAACAGGTTCAGGTCCCGCAACCTTTCCTCATAGGACCTACCCTGCTGTCCCTTGATCATACGATACCTGTAGGTATGCAGGATGGCGGGGTGGTGCAACAACTAGACCTTACTTCCCACACTCCCTGTGGTGGCAGCAGCTCACTCTGCCCAGCTGCTGCCGCCGCCGCTGCCACCACCACCAGAATCTGGCCCTACTGTCCAGGCACCCTGGCTGTCTGCCTTGCACTGGATGGAGTGGGCAGGATCTCCATGAAGACTGGCCTGGGACCCCTGCCAGCTGGGTATGTTCAGCTTGGGTAGGTGGGATGGGGCCACAGGCAGGCAAGGAGTGGTGTCTGGGAGCAGGGCAGGTGGGGCCAGGATCACAGTGTGATGACACTGAGGGGCTGGGACCTAGGACAGAGCCATGATCCATTCCTTTTATATATCCCAGGCCAAGATGGGATCAATTGCCCCCCAGCCCACAACAGCTCACTAAAACTCCCTTTCTTTAGTGACCCTCCAGCCCAAATAATTGCCCATCCTTGAAATATAATACTGCCAACCTCCCCCCCGACTTTGTCCTTTGGATGCTGAGAGCTCTCAGCAGTATTTCCGTTTTGCCAAAGTTCCTTGCACAACCTGGGTGTTAGTGCCTTAGTTCACTGCCTTAACCAGATGCTTAACCCATCTTTACCACAACAGATCTAAAGCAGCTGTATGACCTGTCTTGGCTGCATAGCTGGGGCCATACTAGTGAACTGCATTGTACCTTGCTCATGTAACTTGTACAAAACTGGCATGCAAACTGGATGCCTCCTTTTTTTCTCATCCCTGGCCCTTTTTTTTCCCCCCCCAAGGTTTCTCTGAAGTCACCAGAAGTTTCAGTCACCCTACCTATTTACATCGGCAACATCGCTGTGAACAGAATCCCTCTGAGCCCAGCCAGGTCAGTCCCACACATCCCATCTGCAGTGGTACCGAGCGCACCCCCAGAAGAGGAGGAAGCTGCAAGTGGCTACCACCCCATGGACAATGTTTCGATCCCCACCAAAAGTCATTCCCAGCAGCAGCCATTCAGCTATGCCCCAGGACTGAGCTTCCAGGAAGTAAGGCTGGATTCGGACCAGACTGGCTCCCCAAACCACCCCACGCTCTGTTTGTCAACGGGAGCAACTGTTCCATACTATGCCGAAGGGACAGTGGTTCCAGTTCCCACTGCCAGCTCTCTCATCCTGCCTCCGGAGTACAGCACATGGGGATACCCATATGGTGAGTGTCCTGCTCCTTAGCCTGGCTTATTGGAGTAACCTGTTGTTGAAATGTAGAGTTGCCACACTTCTGCAATGTGGTAGCAGACCTCCTCCATGCCAGTGGAGCTCAAGCCAGGGCATGGAAAGACCCAACAGGCTGTTTCCATCAGTTGGATGGCTGAACAGTATTGGGTTTCTGTGACCCAGCAGTCTGAGTGATCCTTATGAAGCCACCTCCATTTCTCTACGCCTCAGCTGTGCCATCCTCAGTGTCTGTCTGGATCTGTGAACCATTGTTTGCAAACTGTCCGGTGACCCCTGCTAAGAGGTACTGGACCACTGGGTAGGATCTTCTAGTTTTCCATAGTCTGTGTAAAGTACTTCCTCCCTCTTCCTCACCACTGGTCCTTTTTTGGGTCATGTTGGTAGGAACATGGCAGGCTGTCCATGAAGAGCTTGATCCTGTCTTCTGAAGTGTGCAAGTGTTTGGCTTCAGTGGGCTTTGCATCGGGCCCTCATTTGGCGGGGCAGGATGGTGGGTAGCAAATAACATTACCCAACTCTTAAACAACTTCCTTTCTGCCCCTGCAGAAGCGCCTCCTTCCTATGAACAGAGCTGCAGCAGCGCCAACTCCAGCCTCAGCAATGGCAACTAGCCCTGTACCAGAAGCCTGCAGGTGCTGCTCCTCCACAGCACTGTCTCTGAAGTCTGGTACAGCACAAAGCATCTTCTATTCCTGCAGCGGCTGGGCAGGGTGAAAGGCTTGTCCCAGTCTGGGATTTTTAAGTCACTTTTTTTTTGTGGTCTCCTTCTTTGTTGTGTTTTAAAAAAAAAAAACCAGAGGGGGCTTATTGGAAGTGGCATGGGGTGTGGGGTCTGTGCATAGGGATGGGGAGAATGGTACGTCTTGCCCCCTCACAACTCCATTGCACCCTATAGCAGAGGAGCTGCCTGCCCCTGGGATGCCTTGCACAATAATATGATCCTGTACTGTAGTCCAACACTTACTGCTTTACTATCAAAGCACCTGTGATGCCTTATTTGAAATGCTACTGAACTGGTGTGTGTCTAC